GCCACGTGGCATTCGCGCGTCGGACACGGGGGCGTCCGTTGCGCGGGTGAAATAGGAGACCGCGGAGGAAGGCGTGCTATGTGTTCTGGTGCACCTTACCTTAGAAGGAGATAATGTAGGAGTAGTCCTCTCCCGAGGAGGTGCCGCCATAGGGCCGGCGCTCGTGGGGCCGCGGATATGTATGAAAGCGTTCACATGGCCCTGTCAATATGTGACGAAGGTGGAACACCATGGGGTTTTTTACCGGCCTTTTATCTAATTCTGCCACTAAATAGCAGTGCTTGCACTGCTATGTACCGGAATAGGAACGGTATGATAGAGTATAAAGAGTCAGCATAATTTCAGGCTGTGAGCCTTTCACCTTATTCCTTCGTGGTGACACGAATCTACACCCTTCTTTGTTTGAAGTTGGTTAAAGGTGTTCATAGACTGCAGTAGCCATTTACTATTAGTCTGGCTGTAAGTCCTTTTATCACTTTAGCTTTATAAAAAAATGCAGTTTTGTGACAAAAAGAAAAACAACAAAATATAAAAGCTTTTAGAAAAATTTACTTCGCAAATATCCGCGTTATAAAATAAAATGATGTGTCTTACCTAGTATGAAGAGCAACTCCTAGGTAAAACACATTATTTTATCTTATAACGCGGATATTTGCGAAATAAATTTTTCTAAAAGCTTTTATATAATGGATTTCCGCAAAGTAACGCCTGATTCTACTAATTATAAAACAACAAAAAATTAGTTTCTCTCTGTTGTAAGGTTAACCACAATAAAAGAAAACAATGTGGCTGTTGTTGTGCCCATAAAGCGACAGCGATATCAATATTGTTTTGATTGCGTATTAGGTTCAAGTTGACTTTTATTATTTATTTTATTAATAATGGCTTTCTTATCCCACCATTATAATAAAATATGGTTTCCTAGTACTACCATGCTGCATGTGTAATGCAGCCGTATATTGGTAGTAAACGCTATAACGAGCTTGGGATCATAATACTTTGGTAACTTTTGGATTAGTTGATTTTCACCCGTTTTATGTCCACTTTGGCCAGCGCTAGAAAAGGGGAGATTTCACGCCGGGCGAACTGTTAAGCCTCAGGGAGCGGGTTCTCCGTGCGGTAGTACGGAGCTAGAACTATATTATGCGGAGTCGTTCCGAAACTTTTATAGCGTGGTTTAGACTAGTTATTGTTGGATCCGTTAACGTTATTGTAGCACAATAACAATGCCGGCACAATACGTTCCTCTTCTAAAGTTAACGCAATAAAGGCCAACTCAGAATTATGGATCTGAGCTATGACTTTAAGAACAGCAAGCAAAGATTAGCTGTGCTACCGTAGTTGCTATTAGGTATCATCCAGAACCGAGGTTTAATACGGGGGAGAACAAATTTGTATGGTTATGTGCACAAAACTTACTTCGTTCTAAAAGAACTTTCTTCTTTACGAGCATATAAAAATGGACTGCTAAACATGAAACACAGCAGCATTGAGTTGCCATTTTACGCTGGTATTCTGTGAGATCGTGGTCATTCTGCATTCAAACCGTCCCATTCGTACTACAACTATAATGTAGGTATATAGATCTAACAGTTAAATACGCTGTATGGGAAATGCTAGAAAATTGTTGAAGCTTTCGATGGGCAATTCATTATTACTATTCCTATATAAATAAATATAATATTTACAGGAAAGTAATGCCCTACAAAATAATTTAGAGGATCTTTAAATTAAGGAAATTACGCAAATAGCCCGTGGCTAACAAAATTTTATTTTAAAAATAATAAATTACGCTATAAAATAATTCACTTAACTTTATCGAATATTTATTATGAACTCTGAAATTTGTGCTCGTTCTTAAATTTAGGTAAGTCATAAAAAGTTTGTTTCATAGCTTTTATTATTTTACAGTTCATGGTTTTCAGTACTACTTCTTATCTTTATAAATTTTTCTTATCAGTTTCACAAAAATTTTCAAAATGATTTCAAATATCTTTTCGCAATACCTAAATTAATTCCAGATTGACTTTTGATCACGGCGGCCAGTCTCAACGGATGCGTAGGATAGGTTTATAGAGTACGAATGTATGCGCAAAAACAGGTGCACTCTCAATTTTAGAATCTATCTACATAAATATTTTGTAGAATACGCGCCTAGTGCAATATTTTTCAAGTACAAGTAAGTATCTGTTTGGTACTAGACTCTGCCCTAGTTGTAAAATTTTTTTAAGTATAAGGGTACATCAAGTATCTTCAATCAATACATACAAAAGAACACATCATAGATATCTATATAATATATCGATTATGAATCAAATCCAAGTTCTGCCTACAACCGCCGTGGCTTTAAGAATATCTACTACCTCTATATAGTACTGTGATTTCATCGGATGAGGAGTCACGATGTAATAAATGTATTACCATTATTAAGGATACTGTGCTTTGCAATAATGCTAGTTGGCATACATAATACCTAAGACTGAGTCCACATTTGATCATCGTAGTGTACCGTATCTCCGTTGGATTATAAGCAGTCATGTTATACGCCGTCGTGATACTATATTAGATACGCCCTGTTCATACAAAATATCATATCAGAAACACGTATCCTATGTAAATGTCGAAGGCTCCTACGTATACTATGGTAACCCACAATTTGGCGATTTTTATGTTTTAGGTGATTTGAAATTAAATATTTATGTTCTATCTACCCTTTTAATAAAAATTTAAATATCTTTGAAAACTAAATACTTTGTTCGCGTATACGACCGTATGTAATAGAATCAGGCATAGTATACTGTCGTATTGTTCTCAACGATCATTTACGGGGTAAAGGCGCGCAGAGACAGAGTAGCGGTGCTATGGTTACGATAAAATACGGTTTGGTACGCGGAGAGTGTGCGTATGTCCGCGATTGCCGCGTAAATTATTATTTAGTTGATTACAGATTTCAAGTAAATTTCTAAAATAACGAGTAAACTATCTTCAAATAATTACTCCTAATTAGATTTAAGAGCTCACAAGTTAAGCGTCTTAATCGGCAAGATCAGGAAATATTGAATCCAATTTTCTATCTGAAAATGTAGGAAAACTCCACCTTAATGGTAATTTGGAAGAAACCGATAGAGCATTACGTAAGTAGTTTCGATACGTAAATATTATTCTTCATGAAGATGTCAAAATTTGCCTCATTTTTGTTTCTAGTTGGTCAAAACTATAGTAAGTAATACAAAGAATTATCTACGCTGCTTTTTTGTAGAAAAAAGGTATTGTATGTAATACAAACTATATTTTACGTACGTAATAATTTTATTGTATGTAATACATTCGATTTTTTACGTGGTTTGAATATACGTGTACGTTAGTCTATATGTAAGATTAATTAAGTCGATAAAATACGTATTCACTGCTATCGTAATATTTTATTACAATTGTGTACGTAGGTATTGCAAAATAAAATCATATCTTATGTTCTTCTTTTGTTATTTTAAAGCTTTCTGGAATCAAGAAGATTGTCAGAGACATTTGGTATACTCAAGAAAAGATATACTTGGTCTCGACGAAAATATACATTGAAGTTTAAATTACCTTTGTAAGCCACTGAAAATTCAGTTAAAAATCAACTTATTGTATGCAAAAGCTATTTTTATCGACATTGGCGATAAATAAACAAATAGTTTACACTGAGATAGATACAAGAAACAGACTCTGATGATGTCATCAGGCATCGTGGTGATCATTATGGCAATAATCACACTCGTTATTTAAAAGAAGAAGTCAAGTAAAGGTTATGTGACCACATTAAATTTTTACATCCGGTAGAATCTCATGACGTTAGTAAATACACCGTCACACTCACATGAAGAGTAATCTAAATTTATATAAGCTCTTTGTTGTGTATAGTGAATGGTTTGATCCTAATACTTATAAAATTAACCGTGTAGTGGCGGTGTAAGAATACCCATTACCCAATATCATCCCGTGAATGTCATAAGCGCGCAGCAGCGTCTTTCTAATAACAACTAAATATAAAATTGCCAACCCGCTTGTCGAGCGTGTTCAATATGGCACATATTTCCTCTTTGAGACAATAAATAGAGAAGCATCAGTTCAGTAGTGGACTTTTAATAGACTGTAACGGTAAAGGTAACTAGTAGAAGTAAAGCTGACACACTGCGTCAGTACAAACTTTAGTTAATGATAAATTTAAGATAAGCTTTTTCAAGCCAAAGAAGTACCAGTGCGTCATGTGTGTGTACGGCAGTAAAGCTCATAATAAACGATGCCCTTCCAATCACATCATACACATAGCATCGACTTACTGCGTGTTTATTCGGGATTTGCTACCAATCAAGTGGCTCAAGTCACATTTACAAAACCATCTTTAGGCAAAGCTGTTAAGGGTTTCATATCCGACTTAATCCCTATTTGTCCGGTGTTCCTTCCTCAAGGCTCCCATTTTGGTCTATTATTATTTAATTTATACTTACTATTAAGAAATTATATGATTATTATAATAAAACAAAATGTTTTCTACATTCTAATATGTATCTTTATATAAAAAAATAATATTTTATTCTAAGAAAAAACAACCGTCAATCTTTAATAATATAGAATTTATGATATGATGTAACCGTAATACGAGATTAGCTATATATATATATATATGTATAAAGCCAATTAACATTTTTCATATATGTACAAGTGCTGTGTGGCTGTATAGTCGGGTTATAATAATTTGCAATAAGTGAAAAAAGACAATGAAAATATTATCATAGAGGATTGAAACGCTTAATAACTAATTAAAATAGGAAGTTATACAATATTATGTTATAAAGTCATGTCATGATTGTATAAACTGAAACTAGCTTGTTTAATGAGCACCATTGTGCGCACATTTACTCAATAATATTTACATCTTATGAAAGGCGTAAGTGTAAGATACAGACACAGTTGGATTGATCATCGTTGATAAAGGTTTTTCGTTTTGTTGAGTTAAAATGACAGTGCTTTCCAAAGTGTTTTGCTTGATTTTGCTTTTGTGTATACTTAATAGTGTAACAGGAGATTTAGCCAGTTTCTTTGCAACATTACCAACTGAAATTGGGGTAAATATATGTACAAATAATTTTACTACATCTTACGACACACACGGAATAATATGGGATAGTGTGTTTTCTTACACCGAGTTGTGGCGGTATAGTCTCTACCATCATCTCGCTCTCTCTCATCTCTCATCTCGTGTCGTAAGAGGTGCCATAGGAAGATGAAACAAGTGCTAGGTAGCAGCATTTTCCTTGTAACAGCTCTAAATTAAAAACAAAAACTGTGGTTGTCAACCCGCCTGCCAAGCGTGGCCACTATGACCATATGTTCAACAGTGGACTTGGATGGACTGCAATAAATGAATGAATGAAAAATATGACGACGAAATATTTTATTAAAAAAGGTCGTGCAACATTCAGTATCATATGAGCTTGTTCCTCAAATATTGTAAAGAGCATTATATTATGAAATAAATGTAGATTGGCAGTGTGCGCTTAATATACAAACATATTATTTTTCTAGGAGTGCCAAAATAAAATGTTTATTAATTCGTAGTACCAATGGGTAAAAAAAAAATATTTGTAACCAAAATCACTTAAAGGAGTTTGTTTAAGTAAAAGCGTCGATTCACGAATATTTATTATAATGCAAAAACAAACGCACAATGAAGCGTTCTATTTTCTTTAAAAGAACTTTATATATAATGGATTATTTTATTTTAGAACGCCTTTAGCGGTGCCTGGAATAGAATCACTGAAACTATACGGAGACCAGTACGCATAAAGAGGTTGGGTAAAGGAGGAAGTGAGTATTTTTAGTGAAAAAATTTGGCGAAAAATATATCATAATGCTAAAAGTACTGCTAAAACTGCTCGGGACAAGCAGAGCAACAGAACAAAGGCGAACCCTGCCACGCTATCCGTAAAATTCTGCAACATCAGAGGACTTCACTCGAACCTTAACGCTGTCCACTACAACCTGGAGACGGCGACGCCGGCCTTGCTCTTTCTTACTGAACCACAGATATGCTCTCCGGCTGATACTTCCTACTTTTATTTCCCGAGTTCCGAACACTTCTTTGTACATCGAGCTGGAATTTGCGTATACTTTAAAGAGCATATCTATTCTCGATATCATTTTTGTTTAAAGTATAATAAGTATTACGTTCATTAATTTTACTAAGAGCTATTTTTTTTTATCGTCTGATAAAATTATCCATTAAATAAATTTTAGGAAGTATCTATTCATACGATCATAATTTAAGTTAAAAAAGTATTACTATCATATTTTTCCAATCGTCAAAAGTTATTCATCAAATAAATTATAACGTGGCTTAGTACAAAAGTAAAACAATGGACCTGTTTAATGTGTACAATTGTAAATTTTAATTAGTTTGTGTTGTATGTCACCCCGTGAATAAACTTTATGTTAGTATTAAGTAATCGGCCCTAATTAATATTTTATTTTAAATTTAATAATATACCATTACGACTACTAAATACAGACTAATTATTAATTATCTATAACAATATATTAAGAGTCGAAGTAGCGTAGTTGTAAACAGAGACTAAACTCTCGGCTTGATCACCACCGGCACCAATGAAATTGTTTATTGCAATTTTAAGTGCTGATATACAACGCGCTCGGTAGTAAAGAGAATATCGTAAAACCTACGTGTCTGAGAAATTATATTTCATTAGTCTAGTCTAGTAGAAATAATATTTAAATAATATATATTCAGAATACAGGTGTGTGCACCAACACGGATTGGAGCAGTTCGGAGTACACTTCCTTGCTCATAATCCTCAGAGATTAGAGGCCTATGTCTGGGAAAGTGGGACGTAAAAATTTACTTTATTTTATATCATCGGCTTTTTAATCCAGTTATAATCTTATCTCGGTTCTTTTAAGTGATAGAGCCACGCTGCAGCTATTTTATGGTTGTATGAATGGGTTGGCTCAACCGGAGTAGAACCACGCTTTCACAGAATACCAGCGCAAAATAATTTATTAAGCTTAATGCTACTGTGTTTCGCATGGTTAGAAAAGAGAACAGGAGACGCTTTTTACTGGAAACGAGGCAACAAGGCTTCTATCTTTGTGCTTAGGTGTGACAACACATCTGCATTTTAGTTTTTAATCGAGAATAAACGTGTATGGGCTACAGCTTCCACTTACCATCAGGTGGACTGGGTGCTCGTCGGTAACACTTATTCTATAAAAAAAAACTTTATCTTCTAGCCCTCATTACATAGGTCTCTTCTTTAGTTTTTTAGAGATATATTCCTATATTCCGTATTGCCACACTAATCAGCTAATAGATCGTAGCACCAGAAGTTTCGCACTTTTTATGCTGCATCCCATAGCCAGTTCATAGAGTTTTAGATCTAGTTTAGGACGGCTCCGTGGCGCAGTGGCTTAGCAATGAGTTGCTGCGCTGGGGGGCACGGGTTTGAATCCCGCACGGAACAAGTATTTGTATGGCCTACAAATCATTGTTCCGGGTCTGGATGTTTGTCCTTGTGAAATTTGTGTTTGTAAACTGCCTCCACGATACAGGAGAGAATCCTAGTGTGGGGTAACGTTTTTTAAAATAAAAAAATAAATAAAATAAAAAAAATAAAAAAGTTTCACTACGAAATAGTTATACCAACACGGCGGTGGTGGCGTGGTACCGAATATGGTGGTGATCTTTTTTATAGAATAGGGGGCATATGAGCATGCGGCTCACCTGATGGTAAGTGACTACTGTCGAACATGAACAACTGCAACACCAGGGAAATTGCAGGTGCGTTGCCGGCCTTATAAAAAGCAGTTAGCTCCTTTCTTGAAAGTCTCTCTAATAATAGTATCGGTTCGGAAAAATTGCCGGTGGTAAACGATTCCATAGAGAAACGTTCAGTGGTACCGCCAAGCAACCACATGATGTGATGCAGTCAAGAGGAAGGACCTGGCACTGGGTAGCCCTGGCCCAGAGATGGGAATAGTATTTCATGTGAGGCCAAATCTGCGCCTTGTAAAGTTTCAGGCGGTGTGCCGGTATGAAATACTGTCTCGCTCTACTGAGCACGCCAAGCTTTTTAGAGGCCTTCTTTTCCACGTGACCACGAAATTGCACTTCATTCGATATGTCGACGCTGAAGATTCCCATACTGGCTGAGGCAACAAGGTGCCTTGAAAACTGAGGAGATACGACAATGGGGTTCTTTATAGCAGTGAACGCTCAAACATGTGTCTTCTGGGGATTGAACTGGAATAGATTTAGTCGCTCCCAATCTGAGACTTTGTTTTTCAATTTTGTTTTACAATTTGTCGGTAAGCGCATATTAAGGGAGCTTCCAAAGAAGCGCTTTGTGCCAAATCCGATCGAAGGCCTTCGCAATGTCCAAATTAACCACCAAGGCCTTCACATTGGACTTCATCACCTGCGATCATCGGTGTGTTAAGTAAACAAGTAGATCGCCAGTTGAGCAACCCCGACGGAAACGTACTGGCGGTCATTAATCTCCTGTTGCTCTTCAAGATACCGCATGAGCTGGCAGTTAATGATGGACTCCATTATTTTCAAGAACAAGAAAGCGAAAAAGCGTAAAAGCGGTAGGTTTCTTATTGGACGTACCATAGCGGTTACCTTTTTTAAGGATCGGGTGCCTGAAAAATGTCTTCCACGAAATTCAGACTACGCCTAGAGAGTAAGAGTACCGAAAAAGCCGCGTTAGAATCGGTTCCAAATCTGTACCATACGTCCTCAGCACAATTGGAGGGACTCCGTCAGGCCCACTCAACTTTTTGACGTTCAGGGAGAGGTGAGCTTTGCGAACTGAGTGCTGTGTAAGCTGCACATCCGGCATGGAGCACTCACGGCGGTGTGTTCCCCCCCGTCATCGAGAGTCGAATTGGACGCAAAGGGAATGCCTATCAGATCGGATTTTTGCTCTGCGGCATGGGAGAGTGAGTCGTCCACCCTGTGCAGAAATGGGAGAGTTGGATAGTAGAAATTCCCTTGGACAGCCTTGGCGACCAATATCAGAATTCACCGGTCCCCAAAGAAATGCGAAATAATTTTTCGCCAATTCTGCCTATGTGCTCTGACTTTGCCTTGGCAGTTTTTAGGAGGACCTGGAGGCAGAATTGCACTTCTTTTTAAGGGCTATGGTGTTTTAATACCGGGACGTTGATGCGTCAGCCCAGGTCCGGTAGCACTGTTGCTTACAGCGTGATGCTATTTTATAGGAGCAACCAAAGCATGATTGGGATCTACCTCCAATTGACACCACAGAAGAAGGAATAAAAAGTTCCATACTCTGAAGTACCTCATCAGCGTTAGAGCAGCAAAAATGTTGGGATTTTCCGGCGAGAAGCAAACAGTCTCCCAAGGGTAGAATGCAAAGTACAACCGCACCCTATCCCAATCGGCTGACCTATAGTGCCAAACGTTGACAACCTGCTGAATGCAAACGCGAAGTCAACGTGAGTGGCACTACACTCCGGACTAGACAATGGTCTGAGGAGCCAAGAGAGACGTTGACGAACATAATATCTTTTCGGATGAGAGTTCAGCAGATGGTCCAACAGCGAAGGTGCATGATCCTCCACATCTAGAATTTGCGTAGGCAAAGTAACTATTTGTATCAGACCATGTGCAAGGCGAAGTCATAAACAGATCTCCCCACATGATCGGTTAAACGTGAACCGAGGCATTCGGTGTGATGGGCGTTATAATTGCCAAGGATCACGATATCTAAGAACGGGATCTGCTATAACTAGGAATCTGTAGCCAGTTGTACCTTCAAGACTGCCGAGGCGTCTTGCCAGGCGTTTGTGTATATGTCAACTCCAGCCTCACAAAGGAGTGTACCCCGTGTAGGAGAGATATGAAGTATCAGGCGGAGAGGACACCTGCGACTCGTAACACTGCTCAGCCTGCCCCGAGCAGTTTTTTTTTATGAGCGGAATTCGCTCCAAGAATACGTGGGGCTGCATGAGCACGTTTAGGAGTGGAGTATTTTGGTCGTTGATGCTCAGCGAGGTATTCTCCATAACCTGGTGTGCTGATACTGTCCTGGGGTAGTATATACATTTGAATCCGCTACCATGTAGATTACGGGGAGGGGGGAATTGGGCCATCGGCCACCTGCACTCACCAGACGGAACGCAGAAGCAGAGCCTCAACTTCACGCTGGTTTTCTGTGATTTCGTGGTACATTCTCGATTCAAACCGGCCCATAAGTGCAATAGCAAAAGCTTCCGCGTGGCTCTACTACTGTCAAAATTTTCTAACAGAATGGAATTATCTAACAGACCCTTCCCTTAATCGTCCCTTACCACGAATGAAAGATTTAAAGGAAAGCTGGTTCTCTTACACCATCACCTTGCTCGATATTTTTTTGAATTCCACATATAATTAGGTTTTTTATTCTAGTTTTATTCTTTCCTTATCAGAAACGATTCTCCATCGCTACATAATCACCTCTACCAACGATAGAGGTGATTATCCTCTATCAACGACAAAAACATTGTCTGTAAAAAGACAAAAATGTTTTATTTTTGCCAAATTTATGATATGAGTATATGAATGAGTTTTTTATAAATAAGTTTTTTATAAATAATTTAGTACATTCTCAAAGTTGTAGACTTCAGAAGAATCAAAAGAATTTTCCGTAGAGTTTCTGAAACTATCGTGCACATACAAAAATACAAACATATAGGGGAAACGTGGAACCTTCTGTTTTTGTAAAGTTGGTTGACAAAGAGTTTTGTGAAATACTGTCATATCATATAATTAGATATTTATTCTAGGGCGAAAAACAACAACCACGTTGTCAACAGAAATGACGACTGTTACAAAATCGTATTTCCACAGTTCTACAAACCCAATGGTGAAAATTACAATACCCATCATTCCGAAGCCGCATTGGAAATCAATGATGGAGCGGCCAAATATACCATACAATGTTAAGAAAAATAGTGAAACGAAAATAGGCATGTACCTTAGTCATTTTCATTACTTGATTATTATTATTATTTTTTTATTTCACATCTTTGAAGTCAATCGTGTATTCTTCATCAGCCTGTAAAAGTTCACATCTATGTAGCGGGATTTAGAACATTTTAATTTAACAATATAATATCTTCTTCTTTTTTACTTAATATGTTTAAGTGTGGTAGGTGAAACATTTGCAGTAATAGTAATAATTGTAGTACAGAACTTGTTCTTGCACTTTTGTCCGTATGTTACTCACCAGAGGGCACACTGAAAAGCGGCTTCGTGGATAATATTACGCAATTATGCTGAATTAACTAGTAGTACTTTTATACCAAACCCGCACACATAAAGCTTATGATTGCATTGATTTTATTTTATTTAATATTTAGTTCTGTATGTTGATTAGTCTATAATTTCTTTTGTAACATGTGTGTAGGCGTTTGTTTTTATTAACACATTTTCTTTCTTTCTTTATTAACCAACCGAGCAGGAAGGAAGGTTCTCAAATAGCAGCAACGTACCGGTACGTGAAGTGTAGGGCAGCCCAATACTAGATAGAGTGACGACCTAGTAAAACATGCAGTAAGTGGAAGGGTGCAGGTGGTTCAGAACCATACTTTCTAGCGATTCTTGGGGAAATCCTATGCTTAGCAATAGCCTTTTTTATTTATTTATTTGTGTATACAACAAGGTACAGAAACAGGAACAAAGCGAGTTCGTACTAAGATACTAATAATTCTATAATTTGCTGAAATATTTTTTAATAAACGCATAAAGAAATATTTAAAAATACTTTTAAAAAGCTGTAATGAATGTATGTACCAATATAATGAAGAATAGTTATTATACGTTAGCCATAAAATTTCCCATTACCCATAAAATTTCACAGTCCTCGAGCTAATTAAATTCGTTATTAGCAGGTTTTTAAATGTTAATTGCAACTTCTAGCGTTTTTTTTTTTTTCAGATAATTGCCTTAACATAGGTATGTCAGTGAAGTAATATCATGAAATCACATGAACACCTGAGTAATTAAAAATATTCCGAGAACATGTGCAGTCCGGTAACAGGCATCGGGATACCGCTATGGACGTTTCCTGCTGCAAAACTCTCTCAGAAATGAGAATAGACCTCAGTCCTTGGTGTGTGCTTTACTACACTTTTGTCATAAAGTGGCGTGATAAGAGAATCCACTAAGACATATCATCTCGTCCGTCCCGTAAGAGGTGACAAAGGGAAATTAAAGCGGGAGATGGGCAGCAGCATTTTATTTTGGAACAACAAACCTTTGTCACCCTTATTCATTAAATTAAAAAAAAATCTTTAAAATAAAACATCTGTTGCCAACCCACCTAGCAAGCATTGTAAAAAGGAAAGAGATTCTTATGTTCAACTATGGACTTTGGTAGGCTGTAAATAATTAAATAAAATGAGTAATTAACATATTATATTGCAGGTAAGAATTTATATGAAGGAGTAATAAATGAATCAGAAAAGGCAGATGAAGAAAGCAATGAAGGTATCTACAATATTTTGTTTTTTATATAATATAAAAGTAATTGTTATTTAATAAGTTTTCTAAAATATACAATGTAATAAAAGCGAAATATTATAATAATAAATATTTTTTTCTGCTCAAACTGTTTTATTAACTATTTTAACCCGACTGCGACTTAACGAAAAATATGATCTATGTATGTATCTGAACGTCTCGATAATTTTTTTAAATTTTTTTTATTCCGTTAGAGTCGTGCTTCAGCTATATTATGTACTCGTATATAGAGATCCAATATAATTTCCAGCTGTGAGGCATTCAGTTTGTTCTCAGATGTAACAAACCATCTGCAGCTTTCTTTGTTTGAAGTTGATTGCAAGTGTCCATGGGCTGTGTGTATGGAGTGTAGTTCATCACTTTAGTCATCATTACTTACAGTCCAGTTGCGTGGAGTTGCTTATCACTTTGAAAAAAATGCGTAAATAACACATTGTGTTAACCTATATGTCAATATTATCTTTGTAACTTGCGGTCCATCCCGGATTCACACGGTTTCTTTCTGGATCTTGAAAATCAACGCCACCTATCGGGTCCAATTGTGATTCTAAACCATCCAATCAAACACAAAAGAAATCATCAAATTCGGTCCAGCCATTTAGGAGGAGTTCAGTGACAAATACTCATACATCAGAATTATATATACATACATGTACTCTTATATTTTTTTATATGATAGGGTGACAAACGAGTACACAGTCCACCTGATGGTAAGTGGTTACTGTGACTCATAGACATCTACATCTATCCTCAATAAAGACTCAAGATGCAGATGTCACCCGTGAGGACTAAGATGGAATGCCTCTTTGCCAGTAAAAAGGGTCTCCGGTTCTCTACACTCACCATACGAAACACAGCAGCGTAAAGCTGCTATTTTAGGCTGGTTTTCTGTGAGAGCGTTGTCCTTCCCCGGTCGAGCCGACCCATTCGTGCTACAACTATACTATTAATATAGCTGCAGCATGGCTCTACCACGTATAAACTATCATTAGTATATGCTAACATTATCACCAAGACCAATTCACCTTCACATGGTGGACATTGCTGATTGACGGATAAGGCTCTGACTAGATAGGACTCTCTGTTGACAGAAAGTTCATCGAGAATTACTACGCTTACAGCCTATTAAATTCCACTGCTGAACATAGGTCTCACCCATATATTGCCTGATGAGGCATATTTGGCATAGTTGCCATGCTTGGCAAGCGGGATGGCAAAAGTGGTTATTTTTTATTTTTAGTGGTTAACATATAGAAGACGCTGCTGCCCATCTCCTGATTTGTTTCCCTCTGTCCCTCTTACGACACCCACGGAATTATATGGGAAAGTGAATAAACTTACACCGCCGCCACACGGTAATCGGGAATTACTGAACCCAAATTACACAGATTGGTGATGGGCAGCATCAATACTAATGTGAATACATCAGTCCTTGGCATACCAACACGACTTGAGCGCGTATTAGGCATATTTTTCAAGAAATAGTTGTCAGTTGGCGAGCTCGTAGAGAGGCCTCAGCCCAATAGTGGACTGAAAATACAATTGAATATGTGATTATGTCAGGCACATTTGGCCACCTGACCATAAAATTACTTGAAACATCTAAGACATCTCTGTTTATCTCACCAGCAAATACATATTTAAGTAAAAAGTTTGAGTCCATTTCTTAGATATGGTTTAAAATCGATGATTATGATTATAGTTATCTTTTCTATTTTTGTTTTATTGTACATGTACCATCTCCCACTATATTAAGCATATAATATACATATTTATAGCATCTATATACTATATATACTTAAACATAAATATTATGTTTTTATATAATATATTATATATACTACTACTCTATATAATACATATAATATTATGTAAGTAAATTTAGTACCAGCGTGTTTTGTATTTTTATGTTTTCATTGTCTTTTTTTCTGTAAGCGCCTTAGATAGCGCTGTTATTTCAACGACCTAAGGTTGAGTGGCAGAGAATGCTTTTAGCATTATGGCTGCCTTTTGTTCCTATACATTGTGTAAAGTTCAATAAAAATAAATAAAATTGGTATAAGCAACATTTTTAAGCCTTCTTTTCGTTCAGTATTCTAATCTATCTAGTTAATATGTATTCATTAAGTTATCTCGTTAGTCTAGTGGTTTTTACCTCATCTGTTGACGATTTGGTCTTTATTGAATTCCCGAGTCAAGCAACAATCACATATTAGGTCACAAAAATTTCAGTAGCTGCCCAGCGGCCGAAAGTTAGTGATGTTACAATTCTTTAACTTGATAAACACGTAAAGCCATTGCTCCTATGGCTGATCTCTTTCCGATCGTGTCGGATTTCTGTCCATTCAAATAAGAATGAAAGCGAGGTAATAGAAAGTTCACCTGTGCTTGCTAAAAGACCCGTGCACAATAATCATGTTCTAAAAAGATTGCAAATCTCCGTTGAGACTGGCTGCCGTGATTGAAATTAGGTCTGGAAGACATTAAATTATAATATAACTATGTATTACAAATATGTAGTTATTTGACTTTATATATACGAGTTATCTAAATTGATAGAGATACTTTCTTCACTAACAAACACTTACACAGAGTAGAAAATTGCTGACTTTATTATGCCAAAGAGCATCTTAGATAACCTCAATAAGCATAGTTTATGTACCTATTACTTTGATATTGTATTACGTTACGTACATTTTATTTATATTCTGATTTGGCTTTACTTCGCGGAACTTCAATAAAGTTTCCTTTTAGATAAGTACCTTATTTCTTTTCGACATGTTGCGCATGGGTTGTTTGAAGAAGGTTTGCGATCGAAAAGAGAAGCGGTAAAGGGTTTTCTTCTTGATTCGTTTTCTTTTTGATTCAAATAAATTTACAAAAATAGAAAATTTTCTTTGCATATAGTAAACTTATTTATTAAGTATTCGCGGTGTCTTCTCCATCTTATTTTAAATTATTGATACTTCGAATGGTCGAATGCTTTGCAGCATCTATGGTTAAGCCGCGTGTGTTTTGAAAATAAGAATCAAAAACATAAAGTTATTAAAATAAATCTCATTATATGAGTAGTAATTTAATAAACTAATAAATTATTAATAGCTATTTAGTTATGGTTGCCTATTACCTGGCTGGCTTTACCACTAAACCTAGTGGTGTTTGACCACCTTTTTGGAGGAAAGTATTGCACCTAGTGATTTTTATTAAAAGAAAAAATGATCAAAAGGCGAGAAACTCCGATTAAATTTAATGAACTAGGGCTGAAAATTAATTTATGTTACAAGATCAAAGATACAAAACTAACATTTTAATAAACCGAATTAAACCTTCTTTAAAAATTAGTTTAAAAACATAGTTTCCACATAACACCTTTTGAAGTCGGTTCTGAGAAATATTGTATCGAAAAATTAAAGCCTATATTTTACCCTTTTGAGAGGTCTATGAAATAATACAACTTAAATGTCGAAAATCTTCATCAATCATCAATTTGAAGATTTATAAATTTTTTTTAATAGATTATGTATGACAAACGAGTACACAGTCCACCTGATGGTAAGTGGATGCTGTGGCCCATAGACATCTACTCGATTAAGAATCAAAATGCAGATGTATTGCCACACCTGAGGACTAATGGAATACGTCGTTTACCGTTACAAAGGGTCTTCGGTTTGCTGCATACACCATACGAAACACAGCAGCATTTAGCTGCTATTTTACGCTAATATTTCGTGAGAGCGTGGTCCTCCCCCGGTTCCCCTCTCACGCATTTAAGCTACAACCATAATATAGCTGTGGTATAGCTCTAACAGATTGTATATCATCATAATCACCATCATTACAGCCCGTCACAAGTCCACTGCTAAACATAGGCCTCCCCCAGGGTATAACAGTGGATATTTAAATAATTTCTTTTGCACTTGCAATTTATATGACTATTAAGGATATTATTTTATTATTTTTATATAGAAAACATCATTCACACTGCAAACTATATTCGCATCATCATCATCATCATCATCATTTCAGCCCTTCACAAGTCCAATGCTGAACATAGACCTCTACGACGCTGCCACACTCGGTCTTCAGCATTTAAGGCTCTTTCTGGCAAAGAGATTTCTGGCAGACTTTGGATCGCTTCTTCAATACGAGCTGTATTAAATTTTCGTAAGTCTAGCCGCATGCATTTGGAGATCTGTCTGTCCATTTGTCTGTATGCTGTCAAATCCATTGAAGACGGCAGCTTCATTTTCCGTCTAACAGCCTTGAGATCAAGAGTGTGATCGAAGAGATTTTGTGTTCTTCTGCGGCGGGTCGAGTCAGGTTGTGTCATCTTAGGTGGATCCGAACCTCCACGGGAGATTCTTAGAACCCCATGCCCCGCTGTTACCATTGTCACTACCGTAGCTAGGAATAGTGAGGCCACCGTGGACTGAGGGGCGTGTCTTCGTAACTTTATTCATCGTAAGTCCAACTTCGACCGAGAGGTCAATCGACGCATTCAACTCGGCTGGGCAGAGTTCGGGAAATTACCGCACATCTTCTCGTCAGGTATAACTCAAAACATGAAAACGAGACTGTAGAACCAGTGCGTGTTGCCAGTGATGACCTATGCCACTGAGACGTGGTCCTTCACTGCTGGCCGTATGAGGAAGCTCAAGATCGCTCAGAGAACTATAGAGAGGGCTACGCTTGGGGTTTCTCTGCGTGATAAACTCAGAAATGAGGATATTTGCAGTAGAACCAAAGTAATCGACATAGCCCAACGGATTAGTACACTGAAGTGGCAATGGGCCGGCCATATAGTTCAAAAAACCGACAACTGATGGCGAAAAAAGTTTTTCGAGTGGCGGCCTCGTATCGGCGAATGAAGTTTAGTGCGTCCCCCCATAAGATGGAGTGACGACCTGGTAAAACATGCAGTAATCTCGCATAATACCAGCGTTAAATAGCAGCTTAACACTGCTGTGTTTCGTATGGTGAGTGTAGAGAACCGGAG